AAACATTTAGCAACTACTACAAATTCAAGGAGTGTATACTGGGTCACATTGAACGCCAGGGGCCGCCACTGTGCACTGAAACCACGTCACGAGAGGTGGAAAGCCTAGTGGACGGGTACGCCAACGATGTACTAAACCTAATTTGTGGAGATTATACCGAGGACTCGGATAAATGTACCAAGCTAATACTTAAAACACCGAAAAAGTTACCCTCTCAAAAACCACCTAAATCTATGCTGCCACCTTTTATTAATATACTGAGCTCAGTGCCTCAGTAAAGTTACTTGCGCATATTTTAAGCTTATATTTATCACGTGCAAATTTATATCCGGAACTGTCAAGTTTTAATTTAATTGACTGACAAATGAATAGTTTATTTTTGACACAATTTTAATTTTTAATAAATTAGCGTGTATTTTATTTTACTTATTTTGTATTGACATTAATGTAATCAACAAAAAATATTAAATACCCATTTTAATGGCGAGTGAAATTATTTTATTTTAATTTGTAATTAGAAATTGAAATTCTTATTATAAATAAACAATTAAAAACAGGTTTAAAAATTTACACAAAAAACTGTTTATAACCAATTATTACAGTTTTTATTAACATAAGCTTAATAAATATTTAAAACAAAAAACCTGAAAGCTTGCATTTAATTACATTACATTATAATGTAGCGTATTATAAAATTTTTGAAATTATATATAATTATGCAGAATATCTAATAATAAGTTTAAACAAAATTTTACGTCATACATATTACGTAATCACATTACGTAATACGTATCACAATAGTATAATTATACTTGATGAACGTTAATATCCTTATTGATTATTATATATAAGTGATTATAATCATACTCAACTTTTTAGTTAAACATTTAAAAATTATCAAATTTTCAGTTGCAAATTGTAAATTAAAATAAAACATTTTCATAAATTAATTTTAAATTTAAATTTTTATATTATTTGGCCTTAAGACTATTTCCAACATTATGAACTTGGCAATAGTAGTATTATTTTTGATTGCGTATAAGTTATACATGGTAAATGGCCAGGGCAAAGTAAGCAAGGAGTGTAAATCTAGCTCAAACGCCGATACGTGCTTGATGCGATTATTAATGATAGGCGACCCTGATTATATATGGCCCGAGGACATGGCTAGCATGGACAAACAATGCGAGTAATAAATAGTACTTTTAAACTTTATTAAATTTGACTAAAAATATTTAATCAAGCTAAAATTGCTAGAGCATATAAAGTGAACGAAAAATGTATCCGGGACTACGCCGCTAAATGCTATCCGACCTTTCTCAGACAAGTCACTAATGTGTTTGCCTATGGTAAGTTTAATTAATATGCTTAATTAAAATAAAATTTTCATTTTCATTTTGCCTAGGTGCTGCTAAAACAAACAAAGTATACTGTTCAAGTGCAAGTCGTAAGGAGTCGTATATTTCAATTAGCAAGTGTGGCAATAAAATAAAACCTCAGCAAGTTAAATGTATGAAGCAACTCATTAACGCCATGCAGGGTATAGAAAATTACCCCGATCCTAAAATGCGTTTACCACTATCGTGCTGGTTAGTAATATTAAAGTTATTAGACATAAGTATATTAATACTAAAATATTTA